AGTAGTGTATTATTTTTCAAAACTTGAAGCATTTTGCATCTTTAACCATGTACTATTTTCTTTACATTTTTTATTGTGTACATACATTAACAACTTTTGTATTTTTTACTGTTTTTTATTGATTTTTTCTCTTGTCGTACTATACGAAAAATTATATTGTTCTAATTTGTTTAAACACATTAAATTCAGCAGAAATAGAAAAGAAGTAATCGTTTTCGCGTAATTGTTCTCAAGAGCTGAAAAGAAACATTTTATGTTATTTGTATTGCTTTAAAGACGATTAATTTATCAAGTTTTTTTGTTTATGCACCCATTAAAAATAGGAAAAGTCGACGCCCATGCTTGGTAATTGGAAAATTTGTCCCTGAGAATGAAACATCTAGTGGGTGAGATAACAGGCTTCTAATTTGACGAATTAATTTTCCGGAAAAATTTTTCACACTATAAGCCTTGCATAATGGTTTTTACCCTCCCAAATTCATCATCATAGTAACGTCGTAAATCCCCTAATTGCAAAAACAAAGTCGACTATGACAATATTTTTGCGGCCGTTTTGTCAACAGTTTTGTCAAAAGTTTATCATGGAAAAAAAATCGCAAAGCAAGATAGCGAAGAAAGAGCCCGCTTCGGAGGGTAAGACGACTCGCAACCCCTTCCTCAACTTCGTGCAAGAATTCCGGAAGAATAACAGAGGGATTCCGGCGCAAGAACAGGTCGCGCGGGCCGCTGAAGCTTGGCGAAAAATGAGCGACAACGAGAAAGCGCCCTATTACGAGATGGCCAAACGCGCCCCCAAGAGACGCAAGAGGAGGGGCCGCCGACGGGGCCGCAGAATGTCAAGCTACTCCAGACAGAGGAGCGGGTCTCGAAGCTCCCGCTACAGCTATTAAATTTTTGTATTCCGGTGTTAAATAAAAAACAGTGGACGTTATACAGTTTTATTATTACACGGACAAGAATTTCGAGGTACTAGCGTCGGCGGCGGCGCCGCCGCCGATGCGCTGAGCGTCGTTTCCGGCTCTTCGGGGCACTTTTTGCCAATTCACAGTACGGGGATTTTTCATCGGGGTTCATTTTCCTCCACTTTTCAGCAGCTCGGGAGATAACTTCCCGACTTTTCAGACTCGTGTTACTTTTCCTGAAGTCGCTGATGAAGTTCAGGAAAGGGTTTCTGAAAACTTTCACTCGGGTTTTTGACTCCTTTTTGCTTTTACTCAAGGATCTTCGTTGGATGGGCGCCTCGTCAAAATCGTTCATGCATAAATTTTCTGTTTTAACCATTTTTCGAAAATATTTTTACGCCGTCAATAAAATTTTGTTTACATCATTTCGGACCAAAGCTAACTGATTTTTCGAAATGTTTGTCATGACGAACTTGACTTATCGAGAAGTTTCGGTTCGTAAATCAATTTTTAGAGCGGATAAATTCTATATTACTAACCTCAAAATGTCACGAAAGAGGTAAATATTCGCTTGTTGCACCATTTCTTATTAGACACGTGCAAGGATCGCGTGATTTATTCCAAGATAGTGACTGCAAACTTTGATTTTGAATCATCAGGGCTGCAGATGCAGGCGCGACTGCTGATTGGACGAACCTTGAAAAACCGCCGATTTCATTGGTCAAATCTTTGAAATAAGCGATTTCAATAGGTCAAAAGCATTTCCAGCGTCACGAAAAAAATTTTTCCCTCATTATCACATCCGTGAGTGCAAATTAGTCGACATTTTTCCAAAATTTACATATCGATTAGTTGTACCGTCAGCCAATTATCGTCTTGAAATAACTCAATTCGCGCCGAAAAAAATTCTCCAGTTACGCATCTTCTAACCTCGTTTCCGATGGTTGTTACAACAGATCGCAGAAGTGCAACAACGTGTAGCGGTTTTCTCATCGAGTTATTTAATATCGCGGTAATTGAGCACACGACGTTGCGATATACTGAAGAAACACCTACGACCTTTCGGCCAATTTGGGACAATTATATAATCGAATCAACAGTTAACTGCTTTATTCGGACAGAAAACCTTCGGCATCTGGAAGCGATGACATAACGAACAAGAGCCACAAAAGGAAAATGTCAAAGCAATTACAAAAAAATTAAAAAATACCACAGCATTTGTATACTGAAATTTTGTTAAAAATTGTTACATCATAAGCTGAATACTTTTAGACATGGGTTGTGAAGCACTTAGAACTTGTAGAAGTAACCTCAATTTTTGTCAAAAAATCGGAAATTTTAAAATTGGAGTAAATGTTTTTTCACTTCTAATAGCCTCAGAATACAGAAAAGTGCATAAAACGTTCTTGCAATGAACAATGTTGAAAAATTACTTGGAGGAGAACTTGTAGGAATTAAAAAGACTGTAATGCAACGTTTCGTCTATTAAACCATAGACATCATCAGGCTAACAATCCTTTTGATGCAACGTTTCGTCTATTAAACCATAGACATCATCAGGATAACATTCCTTTTGATGCAACGTTTCGTCTATTAAACCATAGACATAATCAGGATAACAATCCTTTTGATGTCTATGGTTTGATAGACGAAACGTTGCATAACAGTCGTTTTAATTCCTACAAATACTCCTCCAGTTAATTTTTCAACCCTGTTCCTTGGATTTGAAGAAGTTATTTTCACGATATGTTCTTGCAATGAGTAGGTATGAGAAAAATCGATGTACATGTAGTTTCTTCGTAAAACTTATAAAAATGGTCGATCAACTTTTTGTCACAAAAACGCTTGAAATAGGGTATTCTAGACGTAAAATCACATGCTGAACACGTTGCAACAAGTTAAAAAGCTCTACGATGAGTAGCTTTTGAGATATTGAGTAATAAAGTTAAGAATAAGGCTAAAAGCATAAGCACTATATTCGATTCTGACCAAAAAATCAAAAATTTTTGATTCTTATGAAAAACTAGCACCTACTCGTACTATATGTAAAATTAAGAGGAGAATATGCCTGTACAAACCGTTTTGACCTAAGACTCAGAGTTTTTGAATATGACTGTTTTCTTATAAAAAAATGGCTCTGTGCCCGGAAATATAATCCGGAGCGACTTCAAATTTGCCCCATTAAATAGATAATTTAAAGCAAAATTTAAAGTTTCTTTGGTTTTTGCTCTAGTCTTAAGTTTCGTAGAAAAAACGCATTTAAAATTTCACAGTTTTGAAAATTTTTACTTTTTGAACGACGATTTGAGCACAAAGCTCATGTAGAATGTTCCGGGGAATCGATTGGTGTCAAGAAAATCGCAAAATTCTTGACAGTTTAGAAGTTATTAATATTTTTGTTATTTTTGTCTTTACCATCGATTTCTCTATAACTATTTATCGCAGAATTACGATCTTTTATATAAGATAGGAAATTAAAAGTGCTTTTCAACGATACCAAAAAAAAAACCAAAGTTATTAGCTAATATCCACTTCGGGTACCGAAAATGGCTGAAAATTTTGTCAAAAATCGAAAAAATTAAAATCTTCAAAATTCAACAAAATGCACTTCAAGAGACTTAGAAAAGTGCAAAAATGTTGTAAAATACTTAGAAATATTACAAGGTTGAATTAAAAAAGGCGATTTTCTTGAGCTTTCATAAGTATCGTAAGAATGGTCGAACAACTTTTTATCGCAAAAACACTTGAAACATGGTATTTAGACGCAAAATCACACGCTGAACACGATACAACAACGGGTTAAAATACTCATAGTCAATTGTTTTTGAGATATTTGAACAATAAATGTAGAAATAAGCCGCATTCTCATACACTAGTTGTCATTGTAACAAAAAATAAAAAAATATTGTAAAAACTTTTTTTTTGAATTTTACCAAAATTTCGCAGGATGGTAAACATATTCTTATGTGACAATGAGTGTTAACCAAAAAGCTATATTAATTATTAATCAAAAAACTTTTCCTTATCCTTATTTTGGTTGGTTTTCTCATTTTTTTTAAATAATTCTCTCAGTGAAAAGTGAGTAAAGTGTGTAAAGCGTAATAAATAAATAATAAATTTAATTTAGTATTGTGAATAGTTTATTTAAAATAATTGTAATCGATTAGTGCTGTAGAAACGATTATATAATCCTCCATCGTAGATTAAGTCGGTGTCGGTGCTCCCCCGGGGTGTGTAACACTTTATTATCCAAGCGTGTTACCGCATCGATTCCGTTTCCTTTATCCCGACCTCCTCAAACGCCAAAGAGTAATAATTCTGTTCTAGTTTCGGCGCGGTAAATCACGGCGCGTTACCGGCCCCAGCCCGGAAGAGGGATCCGAATGCGGGACACGGTCTACTTTCCCTTTCCCTTACGTAACATTGCATAACGTCGACATTCCTCGTTACGTTGCGTTACGAAAAAGCGACGACCATCTTAACGCTAGCGTGGGCCGTGGCGGCGGCGGTAAGTGCGAACGGACGGAAGTTTCCAAGTTCAAGTTCGACGCGGTCTCGAACAACGATTCCGAGAAGCTGGTGTGTGGGAATACCGTACGGTCCAGTGAGGTTTTTAGTTTGTATTCAAATGGCGGATTGCTGGCTATAAACAACAGATTTATTCACGGCATGAAAGAGGATTGTTGTTAGCAAGCGTTCGATTTTGACGGCAGGAATTTTAAACGCGCTCGCAAACGGAACTACCGACAGTCGCACCAAATGAAACGCTGACAGAATAAAAAACAAGTCATTTTTAAAAAGACAGCAAAAAAAAGGCTTCAAAGCACAAATTCTAGCATTTTTACCAAGTTTTCGCACAAGAGTGTATGCAACCAAATATACTTTGGCAATTATTTGTTTCCCACTCGAATCAAAAATTTATCTTATCTGCTTTAAAGCTTTCTTTCTGTAGTCACAAAAGGACCACACCGCATTTTCTTTCAATTTCTAATTTTTTCGACTTTTAAAATCTGAATTCCGAATCGAAATTTTTACCAAAGTATTGTTAAAAGCAGAATTATAAATTTTCAAAATGTAAATTTTGACCAGAGTCGGACTAAGGCGGGAATTTGCACAGAGTGTACCAATTTTGCTACACAATATACTAAGATTATCATTTGAATCAAAATTTTCGTCGAATATTAAAAAATCATAGAATTATGTATTAGAAAATTTGATATAATTTTATATCCTATTGCTATATTGGGTTATCGCATTCTTCGATTTAGGTAGGTACTTCAAATTTCAAGATATTTTTTTAAAGATACAATAGAACTTTGCAAGCAGATTTTTAAATAACAAGAAAATAAATACAAACAAATGTAGAACAAATTACATATTGCGAAAGTAAAAAAATTAAGAAATAAAATCGTTTAAATTTTAGTTTATTCGAAAGGATGTTAGGACGTCAATTTTTCAAAAAAGTTTTTTCCACTAAAATTTGCAAGTTAATGTCATTCACTTCCAAAACAATAAAATGCTAAAATCGTTCAATATTAAATCGTTCAGCATCAAAACAATAACAAATGTAAACTAAATCTACTAAAACATTTTATTTATAAAAAAAACGTATTAAACAAAACGTTGTTTTTTGTACTTTCGCATAAAAACATCGAGTTTTAAGTTCAAACTAATAAATTCAAAACCTTCTAGCTATTAAAATTTTAACATTTCCGAAATTTGTGGCCTCCCTGAGAAATATTCATCTCAACTTACCTTAAAGTCAAAATAAAAAATTCATAATGTTGAAAATCTGAAACTGACTTTCAAACATGAAATTAGAGTTACTAAATTTACATTTTATATGCAGTGAACGTTTATGATCCTGATTTATTTAACTCTTAAAATATATATTTTTTTTTCTTTTATTAGTCGAATTACTTGTTTGTATCTAGCAAAATCGAAAAAAAACCAAGGTCACAAATTAGTTTTTGAAATTCCGTCTTGAAATTTGAAAGTTTAAGGACTAACTTTTGTTCGATTTTCAGTTAGAAGAATTTTGTATAAAACTTCCAAAATTAAAAATTTTCATAATTTCGAATTTAAATTTTAAATTTATCTTAAAATTCCTAGTTCACTAAGGAAAGTAAAAAAATGGTATGATTTTTGATGGCTTGTGGACGCCAATATTGCGCTTTAAAAATTAGTGAAACTATTGACATTTTTAATTAAAATTAATCGACTGACTTGCAATAAAATTTGAAATTATTTTATATTTATTGTTTATCTTTTATAAAATTTTGAACTTCAAGCTATAACTACACAACTACACTTTTTTTCAACATTTTTTTAAATTTATTTATAATTATGAGTTCTCCAAAATGATTTAAAAACCACAATTTCATAAAAAATTTATTCAACGTGCAACGTTTACATTCAAATTTTTTAACCCTTGAAATCCCAGAATTTAAACTTTGTTTTTCAAAGACGGAATTTAATTTGTAATTAAAGTCGAATTTTTTGTTTGCATCCAGCAAAATCAAAAACAATATTTTTCAATTAGGTATGTTCCAACGTCACAGATTAGTTTTTAGAATTCCGACTTAAAATTTGAAATTTTGTTAAACCTCAGACTTAAATTTGTATTTAAATTATCGGCTATTGTATCAGACTTCCAAAATTCGAAACTAAAATTAGAGTTTAAAATTTCGAGTTAATATTTTGAAAAAAATGGATGATTTTTCGCTTGTTTGTGGAAAAACTATTGAGATTTTTAATTAAAATTAATCGCTTGGCTAACAATAAAATTATTATTTCTCTTTTATATAATTTTGGAATACAAGCTATAACTACACTTTCTCAACTTCTTTTTATTTCGGTTCCCAAAAATGCTTTAAAAGCCCGATTTTTGTTTAATTAGGGTTATCGACCTTATAATTTCGGTGAAGGCGTGCGGCGCCCCCGCCTGGCAGCCTCCCTTTTCGCGCTTGTCACCGTTGCGGTCAAGCCACAAATCGCCGTTAATTATGAATATTGATTAAGGTCGCTTTGTCCGAAGCTACCAAACAGGATGTAAACATTCCTTACGTGTATGTACATCGACTGTTGATAATAATAAATACTCCCAACTGTAATAAGTGATTAAATGCACGTCCTTGCCAGAGTGCGAGTGATGTCCTTTGGTACGTGAAGATATCCAAAAGAGGCATTAACACCGCACCTTTACACATGCTGTACAAAAAACGTGCTTTAATCACCGCATGCCAATTAATATTTATTTTGCGAAATAAATCATTTTTCCCCAGGAGGAATAACAAGGGATACGCAATTGGAATGATAAAAGCGAATTGGAGGCAAGGTCGATGTGGGTGCCCTCACTGCTTGAAATGCACTCGTGGAAAAAATTACGATTTTATTTGCTTAATTTTATTTGACTAGAGACAATCATTATTGATAAGGCATTCATAACTCATCGGAAAAATTATAATTGAAGAAATCCTCGTCGAACTTGTGGGAGTAGTAGTGGGACTGGAATTGTTAATGTGAAATTGGTATAATTACATCAGAGATTGCTTACAATCACGTGGTAGTTCCGGTCTTGTTCCAGTAATTGGACCAAGGCTTGGATGTACTCGATGGCCTGTTGCAGCGTCTTCACTTTACTGACCCTCTTTCCCCTAGAAAAATCATACAGCGATCAAGTTTCACTCAATTTTCTTTCACAACTAGACCGAGCGATTTAAAACTTGAAGCCAACACCAGAAAAATGCAAAAACGTTTTTTTCTCCAAAGAAAGACCGATACAACCGTTTTTTTTTGGGAAATCTGGGAGAAGGGAGAATAAATAAATTTCCTTTTTTTTAATCTACAATTCATTGTTTTAAGTAAAGGAAATGAATTTTTTTATACAGTATGTCCCCGGATTGAGATTACAAGAGGAAACAAAAATGATCTTTGATTTTACGCCAAAACTACAAAGGAAAAAAAGTTTTTGCTTTACTTGATTGAAAACAGCAAATCTGTAATTAAAACTTCATTATTCTAACTCAGTAGAAAGAAAAGTTAATTTTTTCTCTTGATTTTGGAATAATTTTTCTCTGATTTTTAAGTCCCATCACATTGGCAGTTTTATTATTTTGACAATGCTGTCACTTTGACAAATGAATTTACACAAGTTAAATAACAAAAATGTTTGTGAAAAACATAATTTTAATAAACAGCAACTCAAAGAAACAGCTTTAAGGTAAAAACCAAAGTCATTTTTAACAAGAACTATCATTATTTAATTAATAAATTATTTGTCAAAGTGACATATAGGGTGCGCCAGAACTCGCGCCCTAGAGAAAAATGCCATATAAGGTAAGATACCAGGAAGACGGAAAATATGTTAAAAAAATTATTTTATCTATAAAAATTTCGAAGTTATGAGAGTTTAAATTTTGCACTTTGACTCTATTTATTTCTGTTGTAAAAATAATTTTCCAAGTTTTTTTGCTATAGGCTATTAAAATAGAATAGGAAGCTGTATCCTAAGTTGTAACTCTGTTGGCAAAATTTTTGTCTATTTACTAAATAATTGTAAAAAAACATATACAAAATCATCAGTATCATTAAATAGATATAAAAAAAAATGTCAAATGTCAAAAAATAAATGTAAAAATTTTTTGACAGATAGAATTTTTTAAACATTTTTTTCATGTTCCTGGTATCTTACCTTACTAGAAAATTTTCTTTGGGGCGCGGGTTCTGGCGCACCCTGTATAGTTGTCAAATAATTAAAATCGCCAATGTGATAGGATTTAAAAAGCAGAGAAAAAGTCCAAAATCAAGAGAAAAATTAACTTTTCTTTTCACTGAATCAGAATAATGAAGTTTTAAGTACAGATTTGCTCATTTCAGGTGAAGCAAAAAATGTTTTTTCTTTGCAGTTTTGGCCTAAAATCAAAGATAAAAAATGTTTTCCTCTTGTAAATTCAATCCGGGAACATACTGTAGATAGCGAAATGGACTAATTTGTGGATTGTTTTTTGGATTCCTGCTTACTACTCCCGGGATTTAATATTTTAGTCACGACGAGTAGTTTTCAAGAACTTTGTTCTGGATTTTCTGGGCGCTTGGAAATCGACCGAAACCGCCCGGAACAATGGTATCCTGTTATGTAAAATTGTCCGAGGAATCTGACTACGAAAACCGTTTAGTTCTGGGACTGATTGTTTTCGAGTTTTTTTAATTATATTTTTTTTTATTTAATTTTAAAAAGTCGAAAAACTTTAAACACGTCTCTAGTCGAAACTATAATTTCTGTCGACTCCAGTTTTCACTTTTCAATATAAAATTATGTACAGATTTCGCAGTTTTTTAAATTGCCTTGAGATATTTACAATTTTTGAGGAAAACTTGAAATACAAAATAATTTTTTTTCTTTCAAACGACGATTACGGCGAAACTAGAACAGTTATGGCAAAAAATCAAACACTATCGGAAGTAGCGTTAAAAACTCTATAAAAACAATGTGTCAAAAAAGACAACGGAAAATTCCGAATACCAAAAAGTTATCTTTTTAATTTTGAAAAGTCGGAAAACTTTAAACGCTTCTCTGGTCAAAACTAGAACTCTCATCGGTTCTAGTTTTACGGCACTTTTTAGTAAAATTTCCGTTTAAAGTTTTAAAAATTTGAACAATGTTCTCAAAATTGTATTTTTTTCATTTTCAACCGCGATTACGGCAAAATTAAAAGAGTTATCGCAAAAAATCAAACACTATCTTAATCAGCGTTAAAAAATCTATAAAATGATGTAGATTTTAAGAAAATTTAATTTTTGAAAAAGCTGCACACCGACTCCGCTTCGTAAAACATTTACATTTAAATTTTTGTCAATTACGACGAAACGAATTTGAATTTCAAGAAAAACAATGTCTTGGGGTGCACATACGTAGAACGTTCTAACAAATCGATTGGTGTCAAAAAAACCCGGAAAATTTCGGCTTGAATACCAAAAACTATAATTTTTTTAATTGTAAAAAGTCCAAAAATGAAAAACTTTAAACGCGTCCTTAGTGAAAACTATAACTCTCGTCGACTTCAGTTTTCAGTGTTTAATAGATAATTATATGCAGATTCCGGCAGTTTTTTAATGTTTTGAAAAAATTGAACAATCTTGAACTCAAAATAATTTTTTTTACTTTCAAACGGCGATTACGACAAAACCAAAAGAGTTATCGCAAAAAATCTATAAAACGATAAAAATTTCAAGCAAATTTATATTTTTTTAATCCTTGCGATTCCGGCTCGTAAAACATTTTCTCGTTTTAAATTTTTTGTCGACGAAACGAATTTTTAGGATAACAATGTTTTGAATTATACGCTCGTAAAACGTTCCGACAAATCGATTGGAAAAAAAAAACCGGAAAACTCCGGCTAGTTTTTGATTTGTCGACAGATAAAAAATTGGCAATTTTTGGTCTATATTAATGATTTTCTCTCAGGGAAACGATAATTTTTTTAAAAGAGAAAAAATAAAAAAATATTTCCAGTGGTACCAAACATAAGAGGCGACAGTTCCGGAAAACCAAAATCCACCAAAATTTCGAAAAAATGTGAAAAATTGAAAACAGAAAAGTGTATTTAAAAATGATGGGTATAATCAGAAAAAACAAAAATTTTAATTTGACCGGAAAGTTCCCCCCTTTTTGGGAACCCAAATGAATAAAAAAATATTTTTTTCATCTTTTAAACGTTTTATTTAGTCAATGTTTTTGTTAACCTTGCATTCTCCAACGGGACCGCCTTCCTCAGCCTCGCAAAGGCCGTGTTGACCGCTTGCACCCTCCGTCGTTCCCTGGCGTTCCTCTTGGCGACAACTTGCGCCGGTTTGTCCTTATGGGGCACGTGTTTATATCTCTTCGTGTCTTCCTTAGTCCTTTTGTCTTCCTCCGGCGCCGTAACCTGATATTTTTCGTTGATCATCCACTGTGAATACATGCAAGATGATACGGGGGCTGTCGCCGGGGCTGACATTGTTCATCTTTCGCGTGCTTTCGCGTGTCTTAGCCACGATGGTACTAACCCTTGATTCTATCATTATTACACTATCAGTAGCGTTCACCCGCATACACCTGGCCAGGGCGGAGTTCTAGAATCATCACTTTTTTACGTTCAGCTGGTCACGGCGTCGCCAAAATCGGGCAGATGAGCCGAAGATCGGTCAGAGGTAACAATAGCCCAAGACCACCTGGATAATTAACTTGATTAGGTGCCGAGGCAGATGATTTTGCTTCGGCGGTGCCCCACGCAGATTGCTTATAAATGGCCGTTTACAAGGGGGTTATTAATTTCCAGCCTGTTGCCACCTTTACGTAATTGGGGGGCTGTTATTCTCCAATTTTCAATACAAAAAAAATCAAAAGCGATGTGTATAAATAGAAATGTAGACACGTATCTACATATTAGATTGTTAAAATAAATGTAAATAACTCTGAATTAGTTAAATGTTATGCGGGCAAGTACCACCTTCTTGAATAGCAATTAATTCAAATGATCAACAGTCAGAGTTAATAAACTCAACACAAAACCACAAAAAGGGTAGTAAATGGTTGAGGAATTGGTGCTAAAAAAATTTTTGTGCTAAAAAAAGTTTTCCATATTAAAAAAAATCGTTATAAACAAAATTCCTTTTTTGTTATAATTAACAATTTAAAATTGAACGTATGCAACCAAGAAAACACTAGTGCTAATAGCATTGCAAAACCCAAACCATGCTTAAATATTTAATTAATAATAAATAAAACACATCAATAAGATAAAGATATTGTGATTTAACACAGGACAATCTTTAAAATTTTATCAGTATTACTATAATATGTTAGGGCAAGATCCTTGAAATTTTAATACACCTTAACCTCACTTTGCTCCAAAAATGGAATCCAACAATTCTCGCAAAAAGCTCATTAGAAAACTACGAAAACACCAACACACAGTTAGTAAGGAAACTGGGGTCACCTGTTCCGAGAACCCCACTCGGGTAAACAATAACGTCGAAAAAATAATTACTTAACCTCAATTTTTTAGAACCTTGCAATTTGCAATACCGGCCAAATTAATGGCTTAACTGAGGAAACAATCGTAGAACACTTCCAGAAATATGGCCCCCTTGATCGCATTTTACTAATTCCGGGAAAATCATGCGCATTTCTGAGTTACAAAGACATCTCAAGTGCCTCAGCGGCATTTGAGGTTGTTAACGGTAATCTGAATATAGCGCAAGACGGAAAGCCGATTTTTTTGAGTTTCGTTGAGGCTTTTCCGGAGATACCGGAGGAAAAAGTTTGGGGGCGCCACCCGCCGGGTTTGACAATAATTGAGTGTTTTGTTAGTGAGGAGGAGGAGGCGAAATTGTTGTCTTTGTGTCAGTTTGAGGATGGTGGAAATATGAAACACAGACAAGTGAAACACTACGGTTATGAGTTTCGATACGATATTAACAATGTCGATAAAGATAAGCCGTTAAAAGAGGGAATTCCGCAAGAGTGCGATTTTTTATGGGGGCGTCTTCCTTTTGACTTCCGCCCCGACCAATTAACAATCAATCGTTACAAGCCAGGACAGGGGATTCCCTCGCATATAGACACCCACAGCGCTTTCGAAGACCCCATTCTGTCTTTAAGTCTCAATTCCGACGTTGTGATGGAATTCAAAAAGGACGAAACGATTTGTGTCCTTTTACCCCGACGCTCTCTGCTGGTAATGTCAGGGGAGAGTCGGTACGAATGGACGCATGGGATTGTACCCCGAACTTATGATTTCTACAACAACCAAGAGGGTTGTTGCAGTTTCAAACGCGGAATTAGGGTCTCTTTCACCTTCAGGAAAGTCAGAAAAGGGGGCTGTGATTGCAAATACAAACTTCAATGCGATTCTCATAATACTAAAATCAAGAGCGATTTATTAGCCCATAAGTTGGAAAATCAACACGTCCATGGGGTTTATGAGGAGATTGCCCCCCATTTCAGCGAAACTAGACACACCCCGTGGCCAAATGTCCTCAATTTTGTGCAAAAACTCCCAATGGGGGCTGTTTTGTTAGACGTGGGGTGCGGCAACGGCAAGTATTTTGGCCACAACAGCCACATCGTGGAGGTAATTTTCAAATCAAATGATTTAAAATCCTCAAAATTTCTGTTTGTGTAGTTGGGAACCGATCGCAGTTTCAAACTCAACGACTTGTGCAAGGACCTTGGTTTTGAGGTCTTCACCGGAAATTGCCTCAACCTCCCCCTCAAAGACTCCTCAGCTGATGCTGTTATTAGTATTGCGGTAATCCACCACTTGTCAACCCCCGAACGCCGCTTGAAAGCCCTCAAGGAAATAGCCCGGGTGCTCCGGGTGGGGGGCGAAGCCCTTATCTACGTTTGGGCGAAACAACAAATCAAAAACGACGAAAAGTCAACTTACATGAAACAAGACCGGAAAACTCGAAAAAAGGAAGTTGTCGGGAGTGTTACCACGGAGGAAGTTTGTGTTGGGGAAGGTGTGACTTTACCGGTGCACACCAACAGGGCTAATTTCGCTCACAGTGATGTTTTGGTGCCTTGGAAGTTGAAAGGGGAGGAGAAATCGAGGACTTTTTTGCGGTTTTATCACGTTTTTGAAGAGGGGGAGCTTGAGAAATTATGTAAAAAAATTGAGAATGTTTCTATTGTGAAAAGTTATTATGATCAAGGGAATTATTGTGTAGAGTTTGTGAAGAAATAAAGTTGGGTCATTGTGGGTTGCCTATAGGTCGGTGTTGTTAGCCCCCACCTGTTGCTGTTTGTTGTCACGCTGGCTCGCAGGTGCTGCTCTCTACTCCTTGGCGAGGTCTTCTTTGAAAGTTTCCTCGTTTCGGGCTATTGTCAGATGCAATAATGGCGTAGAAGAGTGTTAACGTGTTTGCGTGTCGTGTAATTGCTTCACGGATGCATCTCATTTGATATAGCCCCCATAACGGACATAATTATGCATCGTGTCCCGCGCGTCGCCCCGATTTGAATCCACCGTACCTGTCTCTTCTCTATTGTTATTTAAATTATTTTTTGTGTGTGTTTTTATGTTTTTGTTTGTTTGTTTGTTGTTGTTATTGCCATGACCAGTGTCGTTTTTTTGCTTGGTGCAGCTTTATTAGGGTCAATCAAGGTACGTGGTTCTATTGTCGCTTCTTTTATTGTTTGGCGTTTCCTCTGTTTGACACATGTTGCGACGTCCTGGTTCCACGGTTCTCGATTAGCAGTGAAAAAACAAAGCATATGCGGCCCAAGCCGGAGCTGTTCACGTAATAAAGGCGACTTTTTGTTTAAATAACGAGAAGAAAGTCGATTTTTCGCGAGGTGTATTTAAATTTATTATTAATTATGCATTATGTAAGTGTGCCAATTGTCTCGGTTTGCCATTCTGCGTACTTCGGCCTTCGACGAACTTTCCATTTGGTTTTGTTTACCAACAAAAAGAATTTTTATTTATTTTCGAGACGGTTTTCGTGCCAATAAATGACATCACCGTCAAAACCACACTCAAAGAGCTTTCTTATCGGGGGACCACCCACCGAAGTGTTACAGGTGGTTCTAAAGATAACGGAATTATTGGCGACAAGCCAAGAAATTCACATCAATTCAAATGACATTAGAATTTAGAGCGCAAAACTCGTTAAAAAACTATTTGTTTCTAATTACTTGTAGCGATAAACGCCGCTTTTGATAATTATTCGCATGAAATAAAACCGTCAAGGTTTGGAGAATTTGGTATAGTTTTTCGGTGGTATTAATATTAAAAAATGCGGAAATAACTGGAACGGAAATCAAGTTTCACTCTTCACAAATAAACACAAAGCTTTGTTTTGAAAATTTCGCGTTTAATATAATTGCGCCGGTTTTAATTTGATTGTTGGCGCAATTAACGAATAAATAAAATTTGGTTTTATTATTGTGGGTTGGGGCCGTTAGATAATTCAGTTTAACCCAATGTGGGCGAATCATGAGACATCAAAATTGAAAAGGTCAAAGTTGTACATCGGATGGAAAAGGAGAAGATAAAGCGAAATGAGGCACGTTATTAAATAAAAAATCAAAAGAACTAATCCAATGAGGATTTCCCACTAAAATTTAAATGAAATAATTGATTTTTAGATAAACCCACTGCATAATTTTGAAAATAATGAAGTTAAGGGGCCATTAACTTGAAAAAAATGTGTACAATTAATCCAATTCCAAGAAAATTCACCGAAATTCCAGTGATTCCAATAATCCATCATAATTCCATTGTTTTCAGATTAATTCATATATTTCCTGTAATTCCAACTTAATTTCCGTAATTCCGAAATAATTTCTGTAATTCCAAAATAATTCCTTTAGTTCTAAGAAATTGAACGTAGTTTAGGAAAGAAATTGTCTCCGATAATTCCAAAAAAATCTAGTAATACTTAAAAAAATTACAGAAATTCACACAAGTAATTCCAGTAATTTCAAAAAAATGTACCTAAATTCCTGTAATTCCAATAATCCATCGTAATTCCGTTGTTTTCAGATTAATTCATGAATGTAATTTCAGAATAATTCCAACTTAACTTTCGTAATTCCAAAATAATTCCTGTAATTCTTAATTAATTCGTATAGTTCTAAGAAATTCAACATCATTCATTGTTTTCATTTCAAATAATTATTCCAAATTAATTTCGGTGGTTTTTAATTCAACGTAATTTTCAAAAGAAATTATCTCCGATAATTGCAAAAAGAATTCCAGAACCTAATTCACAAATACTTTCAGTAATTCATAAAAATTCCAGTAATTTCAATTCATCGTAATCCAAAGACAATAATTCCAAGGAATTTCGATTAAATTCCAAAAATTTGTACAACTAATTCCAGAGTTAACGGCCGACCCCTCGTAATAAGTCAAAAAAGTTGTAGTTTTTGTAACAAAATTTCAATTGACGCGGAATTGTAAAAAAATAAATAATTGTAAAAAAATAAATAAAAAATCCGTTTGTAAAGTGGCAAATGTTGATTATTCCCTTGAATTCGATATTCTAAATGTGTAATGGAAACCTCTGATTCTGATATAAAATGATGCATAAAAAAGGAATTTCTCATTGAGGATTTTAAGAAAATTTCCGATTCTTTGCAAAGGTGAAATTTTAATCGATTTCGACACTCAAAACCCTAGAAAGTCATCAAAGCGCCTTAATTTGTTTACCCTACTGTCACTTATTTGCAGAAGGAAGTTTCCTAATGACCACTAGAACTAAATAAAAATTTGCTTCAAGTCGTTTATTTCAATTCCTACCTTTTACTCTGAACGAAAGAGGTTTTGAGCACAGTTCAGTAAAAACCGAAAAAGAAGAAAATTTCCATTCTCTTCCTTGTTTCAAAACCGTATAAGAACTTGAGTAAGTAGCAAAATGTGAATATTCATGTCGATTTTGCAAGCCCGACCGGATTTTCCCCCAAGGAAATAAATCGATTATCCCATCATCGTCCTCGTCGAAAATCCTCCATTCATGAGCAAAAATTGTGCAATTCCGACTTTCTAATAGCGAGCGTCGAAGGTAAAGGTGAAAAGCTGTCGCTTTTCAACCGGAAGTGCATTTGCATGCGAGCCTTCTTCCCCTCATCTCATCTTTTGATTAATCCGACGTCTGGAAAGCGTCGGGATCGATAGTCGCATGTGTCCATGTGTGGCAGAGAGTTTGTTTTATTTTTAAGCTTTCCATAATCGACCTAAATACGTTTTAAATATACAAAAAGGGGACCGACATCACCGGATAATCATCCCCTTCTGGCACACATCCAGAGCGAAATGAGAGGATTAATAATTCGGTTCCGCATGTGATGCTGAATTTCGTATTATTAGAATTTATAACCGAAATTTCCGTTCGGCGAGAAACAACTCTTCCTTTTCAAAAATTCATTTTAATTTATAATTAAGAGAGGTAAACGGCCATGAAGTTACCGCTTCGCCGAAATTAGTTTCGTTTTTTAAGATTTTAATTTAATTACAATTATCATCGCCAAGGACGAATTAATTCAATCTTCGGATTATTTCTTATTTAAAATTCACGTTTTCAACGATTTTAAATGTAAAACATGCACGCGCTAGGTGTGTCCGGATTTGTCGTGACCGATTTAAATGGTTTTAGATTGCTTCGCCTAGATATTATCAAAGAAAGTTATAACAACGAATATACACACTATTCAAACAATACTTAATCTATACCACATATGGGCGTAGCTTGATGACAATTAATTTAATTTAATACTCAATAAATAAATTATAATTGACGAAACGTGGACACAATTGGATTTATGGTTCTCCCATTTTAGACACTTCCATATTATGCAGGAGACAGCAAACGAATACGTAGTACGCAACTATTGTAAAATTATAAAATCTCAAAACTAGTGTAATTTCTCTCTACAAGAAAAAAGTGTGGTAGTCGTCTTTCCTGCAGTATTATTGCATTATTACAATACAGTTACAATACAATTACAATGCAGTATTATTGCACTTTTTACAATACCTTTTTCCCACCTAAACAACCCAAACTTCCAAATGATTTAAAATTTAATGATGTTTGAAAGAGAAGTTGTGGAAAACTGTAAAATTACTTGGGGATTTGCATTTTAAAGAATTATATTAGAAGTTTTAAAAATACATATGAACCAAATTCGAATTTAGGCGAAGTATGAAACATACGGTTTTCCCCCATTTAGTGAAAAGGGGAAAAAAGTGAATTTATTTATTAGTTAATTTTTGTGATGGCAAAATCAAGAAATTTTGATGACACATTTTGAAAAAAAAAATCTCCTCAAGTAAAATAATCCATAAAAATACAAGCTTCAAGAATTATGCAAGTACCTACATTTTAGAATACACCCAAAGTACTAAGTTTATTTCAGTAGGGAATTCAACCAATGTTGAACATGTTGACGCATTTCGTCCAAAAGGAAAATCTTAAATTAAACTATTAAAAATATTTAAATATACAGGATGTCTCAGCTTGACATAGACAAATAGACACGCTGTATAGTTGAAAATAATTTTAGGCAATGGACTAGATTAGTATCTATCAATGTCCTAAATATATTTTTTTTAATTTTAACATTTAAACATTTTTCAACTCGCTGGGGCACCCTGTATATTGAAATTTAAAATTTGTTGAGTTTACTAAAGCCCATTAAAATAAAACAGCTTGTTTTTTACCAATTCATTTCCCAAAAACTAAAATTAGTACTTTAAAAAATAATAAAAGTTTTACAAAAAATACTTGTCCGCGATCGAAAATGTTTGGGAAACGTTATAAATTTAATAAAGAGTTAAAATAATTTACAAGAATCACAAATTGACATGAAGGTATCTACCTATTTTATAACTGAAAAATAAAATAAAAACTGATTTACAATGACTTTATCTGTAAGGTTCTTTTCATGAAAAATAAGGTGAAAAATTTAGACTGCAAAAAATTTATTTTTGAAAGTTGGTACAAAAGTGCAATTAATCTTGAACAAATTATACTTAACTTGACCATGTTTCCCTATTTTCTGAAAAACGAGATGAATTTATAAAACAAACCTTTAATTGAAAATTTTGTTTACAAGAAATTATTTTGTCCATGAGAGAAAAACGAGTAATCCGTGCTTAAATTAATTCATTTAATTAAAGAAAAGGGCTACAATAACCCAAAAAGCTTTATTTATATAAAATATACGATTTAGAAAAATGAGATTTTTTCCACTGAGTCAGAATTATAAAGTTTTAATTACAGATTTGCTCGTCTCAGGTTAAGCAAAAAATGTCTTTTTGCAGTTTTGGCGAAAAATCATTGATAATTTTTTTCCTCTTGTGTAAACTCAACTGAAGAACATAATATACGAGTATATACAGAAACACGATTTAAAAAAAAACTATTCATGTAAAATATGCTGAAGAATTTAATTTGCAAGAATTTTAGTTTTAAAAATCTATAAAAAATTGCATTTAGTGCTGGACAAAAGCCTAAGTTACCATTTTGTAAAAAAAATGAGGTGAAGAAGAAAAGAAAACTTTAGAAGAAACAAACTTTAATTGAAAATTTTGTTGGTAAGAATTTTGATCTGTGATAAAAAAATCAAGGAAGAAACGGGTAATCAGTGTTATTAACAATTAAATTTGCTTAAAGAAAAGAGTTAAATTAACTCAAAAAATCCTTATTTGTATGAAACTATGATTTGAAACTGACCACAATCACAAATTTTTGGTCAAAATACCAATTTTGTTATTAAAATGAAACAAAATTATTCAGGATGATCTAAATATTTGTAATATTTAGGTACTACACCAACTTAAAAAAACAAATTTTCATAAATGCAAAAGAAGCTGAAAAATTTTATTTGCGAAGTTAACGAAGTGAAGAAGAAAAGACTTTAAAATCGTTTATCTGTGTTATTAACTAACAAATTTTGTTAAAGAAAACGGCTAAAATAACTAATTTTTTTATTTTTACAGGATGATGAAAAAAATATCTTCAATAATTTTTGTGTCAATAAACTTTTTACACCCTTTTTTAAGAACACAGTTAACTGCAAGTCTTTAACAATAAAATTATTCTAAAACTGTTAATTATATAGATTTCTCTTTTCTAAAAAGAAAAGCCTATATCTCAGTGATAAGAAAACAAATCCAATGTTGGTCATTGAATTCGTTTTTAGTAAAAAATTACTAAATAACGTATGGATTAACACATATTGTATAAAATATACGATTTAGTTAGAAATTGAACAAGTGCAAATTAACAGGACAACGCAATTTTTATATTTTGTAATTAACTAAATAATATTGAAATTGCAACTTATGTGAACACGAAATTTAATGAGTTGTATTTTTTTATTATACCTACACTATTAATGGGACTCCCTGTATGAAGAAAAATAGTACGCAAAGCTTGTGACCTTATCCGATATCTCCTTGAACCCCCTTTTAGCATCGTTCCTACCTCCAATTTAGAAGCAATTAGCGGCTGAAGCTTACATAACCGTGAAGAAAAGTGGGCCAAAACAAGGTTCCGCATTAAAACTCTTCCATATTTCACGCTCTATTATTAAGAAGTGCATGAAAACGACATGAGATGCGTCGAAATCTATGCGTGAAATTAATTCATTGTTTTGCAGCCGGGGCAAGCAGCGGAACTTGTCATCCACATTCCGGGCAATCTGGGCCAAGAAGGGGTGATTTACAGACTGGATTACTACCCTCCTTTCGGACACCCCGCCCCAAACACCACAATTGCCTCGAAAGACATCCAAGACGTCATCAAGTTCTCTCAAGCGTTACCCGGGACCAAGTACGACTTCTGGCTCTATTACTCCAACTCCACTCACAATACTCTCACATGGACTGCTAATTTTACGACTGGTTGTAACCCGAAACTCAAGTCGGTTAAACCTAACTGATATTTTTCCAGTACCTGACCCGCCTTCAAACCTCTCGGTTAGTGTCCGGAGTGGGAAATCTGCAGTGATTTCATGGAGCCCTCCGACACAAGGGAGCTACTCGAGCTTCAAACTCAAAATCAACTGTCTCAACAACGTACCAGAGGCCAAACCTCAAACCCTCACCGTCGACAACGTAGAAAATAACTCCTATCTCCTCAAAGAACTGACACCGGGGGCCACTTACCAAGTCCAGGCTTTCACAGTATTTGAAAATAAAGAAAGTGCAGCTTATACATCGCGAAATTTCACGACTAGTAAGTAAATTTGTTGTCTAGAACCGTAATTGACTTTTTAACACAGAACCGAACACTCCGGGGAAATTCATCGTGTGGTTTCGGAATGAGACAACTCTTCTTGTTTTATGGCAGCCCCCATACCCGGCTGCCATCTACACACATTATAAAGTCTCAATTGACCCTCCCGATGCCAATGACAGTATACTCTACGTGGAGAAAGAGGGCGAGCCTCCAGGACCGGCTCAAGCAGCATTCAAGGGCTTGGTGCCAGGTCGGGCTTACAATATTTCGGTCCAAACGATGTCAGAAGATGAGATTTCCGCACCCACCACTGCTCAATACAGAACTGTCCCTTTAAGGCCCTCGAAAATTACATTTAGACTAATCACCTCGTATTCGTTTGAAGTCCATTGGGAGGAGCCCAACGGAAAAAGGTAAGTCCAAAAAGTGTCAAAACCGAACTGAATTTTTGACTGGTTGTAGCATTCATAAAAAACACGCAATTGTAAGGTAAAAAGTTGTTTGGTTTGAGTGTTTTTGTTGTTTTTTTTTTTTGGTGAAAAACTTTTCGATTAATTCACATAATTCCAAACTATTTCCTGTAATTCTAACTCAATTTTTCGTAATTCGAAAATAATTTCTGTAATTCCAAATTAATTCCTTTAGTTTTAAGAAATTCCAAAAAAATTACAGAAATTCACAAGATTAATCCCTACAATTTCAAATTAATTATTCCTGTAATTCCAACTTAATTTCATCTTAGTTTGCGTAATTCTAAAATAATTCCTGTAATTCCAAATTAATGCCGATAGTTTTAAGAAATTCAACGTAATTTTCAAAAGAAAATTATCTCCGATAATTCCAAAAAGAATTCCAGTAATTCCAGAATCTAATTCACAAATACTTCTAGTAATTCACAAAAATTCCAGTAATTTTAATTAAATTCCAAAAATTTGCGCAACTAATTCCAGAGTTAACGTCCCCTCGTAATAAATCGAAAAAAGTTTGACTAATTTGTAGTTTTTGTAACAAAATTTCAATTGAGGCGGAATTGTAAAAAATAAAAAAAAATTATTTCGGTTTAGCAAAGTGGTAAATTTTGAGCTTAACGGAAAAAGGTTAGTCCGAAAAGTGTCAAAACCGAACTGTATTTTTGACTTGTAAGGTAAAAAGTTGTGTGTTTGGCTTGGCTATTTTTGCTTTTTTTTTTGGGTGAAAAGCTTTCATTTTAGTGAGTTTGACAAGTACCATGTGTTTGTTGGAACGACGAAAAGCAAGCAACAGATTACCAAAATGCGAGATGATCCGACTTTTTACGAGTTCAGTGAGAACTTAGATCCGGGGAAGACCTACAGTGTGACTGTGAAAACTGTCTCTGGGAAAGTTTCCTCATGGCCTGCTACGGCTGAAGTGACTTTAAGTGAGTCTGAAGGATTTTTCCGAATTTCCAGTAACGTACCATTTTAGAACCTCTCCCTGTGATGCATTTACACGCCGAAAGTGATATTAAAAACGGGATTGTTAACATATCCTGGAGTCCGAATCCTCGCAGCTTCCAGGACAACTACTTGGTGTCGTATCACGAAGTGGAGAGTTCAACCGGCGATAGTAACAACATAAAAACGAACAATAAAACGAAAATCACTCTGGATACGCTGCTCCCTGGTCGCAACTACTCTCTCATCGTCCAAGCGCTCTCTAAAGACATGGAGTCGAATGAGAGTTACCTCTATGTGGTAACGCAGCCAAGCGCGCCCATCATCGAGGACCTCCGTCCCATGATCGATGGTCTCAACATAAGCTGGAAGAGCGACGTGAATTCGCGTCAAGACAAATACGAATTGCACTGCGTCCGAAACGACACCAACGACAAGATAATCAGAACCACCCATGACTCGAGGATCATCCTCACGAATCTCTACCCAGGCGCTGGCTACCTAATCAAAGTGTTTGCAATTTCGCACGGCTTGAAGAGCGAACCTCATGAGTACTTCCAACCAGTTTGTAAGTAATTTCCCTGTGGGAACTACCGATTTTAACAAAACTGTTTAGTCCCTCGTCCGCCCAAAAACATGACAATCGAGAAAACCACCACCACGTCCGTGTTGGTCCAATGGGTGGCGCCGAGCGACTCGCTCATCTCCGAGTATGCCATACGCTACCGAACAGACACCAATCGAAATTGGGTGCGATTACCGCCTGTTCAAAATACAGAGGCCGAAGTTACCGACATGACTCCCGGCGAACGGTACACGATCCAAGTTAATACAGTTAGTTACGGTTTGGAAAGCAACGAACCACAACAAATGAATCATACAGTACGACCGAATCCAGCGTCGAATATCGCACGATTGGTCGATTCGAATAATGTCACTCTGGAGTGGCCACGACCGGAAGGAAGAGTTGAAACTTATGTTGTCCGGTGGTGGGAATCCGGGAACGAGTCCGAGATCTACTCCCGGAATGTGAGCCAGAATGAGAATGGCACCGGACCCGTTAGGTTACTCGTCAGTGATTTGATGCCAGGAGTTGAGTACACGTTTGATATCAAAGCGATTTCGAATGGTCTAGAAAGTGACAAGACGGTGTTGACAATCAGGACAAGTAAACCAACCATCAATTGTGTTATTTCCGGTGATTGTCATTTATTTTTCAGTGCCTTTAATCCAATCAGAAGTCGTGGTTGTGACCAATCAACAGTCGACAGACACCATCAGTTTGAGATATACACCGACTCCCCCGACTTCGTCCAAATTCGATTTTTACCGATTTTCCTTGTCCGATAGTAACATACCGGATCAGGAAAAAGCCTGGAATGATACAGACCGATTTGTTACCTTCACCGGTTTAATTCCAGGCCGACTATACAATATTACAGTTTGGACAGTCAGTCAGGGGGTTGAAAGTCAGCCCTTGCAACGCCAAGACAGACTTTGTAAGTCCAATTACAGTTTCCTGTAATTGTTAACTCTCCTACTTTTGCAGATCCTGAACCCATCACTGGCATCAATGCAACTTCAGTCTCCGACACCGAAATCACTCTCTCTTGGGCCTCCCCTCGGGGCGAATTCAACGCCTTCGAAGTCCAATACCTCACATTCGAGAACACCCTCATCCACAACTTGACGTTACAAAACACCATCACCATCACGGAGTTGAAGCCTCATCGCAACTACACTTTCACTGTGATGGTGCGGAGTGGTACCGAATCGAGCATTTTGCGACAGTCTAGCCCCGTTTCGGCCATTTTCACGACCAAGGAGTCGGTTCCGGGTCGAGTGGAGCGATTTGAACCTTTCGATATACAACCTAGTAGCATTTCCTTTGAGTGGTCGCTCCCTCCGACTGAACAAAACGGAGTCATCCGCAAGTTTACCATAACTTACGGGCTTGAAGGCTCGTCGAATACCCAATCGCTTGATTTCAAACCGAATGAATTCAAGGGGAAAATCCGGCAGTTGTTGCCCGGAAAAACATACGTGTTTCGGATTCAAGGCGAGACGAAAGTCGGGTTTGGCCCGGAGAGGATTTGGAAGCAGAAAATGCCGATTCGGGAACCCCCGGTGCCCAATTCGAGAGCTGTCCCAACTGAGGTCCGACGAAGCTCCACCACGATCCAAATCCGTTTCAGGAAGAACTATTTCAGTGATGTGAACGGGCCTGTTACCACATATGCGATTATAGTCGCTGAAGATTATTCGAAGAATGCCTCGGGGTTGGAGATGCCGAGTTGGAGGGACGTTCAAGCGTACTCGGTGTGGCCCCCGTACCAAGTTTCCGAGCCCTATTATCCGTTCTTTAACAGTTCGGTCGAGGATTTTACTATAGGGGCCGAAAGTTGCGACATACGCCAAGTGGGGTACTGCAACGGGGCCCTGAAAAGCGGCTCGACTTATCGGGTGAAAATCCGAGCTTTTACAGCGCCTGATAAGTTCACCGATACCGGGTACAGTTTTCCGATTCAGACAGGTAGGTTTTTAATCAGAGATAAAGAGTAAATATTTTTATGTTGTATCGATTTGTTGGCGCACCCAAGGATGGATTTTAGTAAGTTTCTTGAATTGATCCGAGCGAAAATAGAAATAATCGATGGTTATTAAGTGTGCTCAGTTCGGGTTTAAAATGCCTTAAAAATAGAATTTCGACAAGTGCCAAGTTATTAATAGTGTTGTGCGTTTCAGATCAAGAGAACACGGGTATCATACTCGGGGTTTTGATTCCGCTGATCCTCTTCGGTGTCCTCTTCTTGGTTATTATCTACATCAGACGACGAAGATCGGCTCGTAAAGCCACAGACACGCGAACAAACGACAACATGTCGCTCCCGGATTCGGTTATTGAGACAAGTCGGCCAGTGCGAATCGACAGTTTCGCCAACCACTACCGACTAATGTCGGCCGATTCGGACTTTCGGTTCAGTGAAGAGTTCGAAGAACTGAAACACGTGGGGCGAGACCAACCGGCGACTTTCGCCGACTTGCCTTGCAACAGGCCCAAAAACCGCTTCACCAACATTCTCCCATACGACCATTCCAGGTTCAAGTTGCAACCAGTGGACGATGAAGAAGGCTCGGACTACATCAACGCGAATTATGTGCCGGTAATACAGTTCCCGACTCACATCTCCAAAAATTAAAAAAAAATGTTTTAGGGGTATAACTCCCCCCGCGAGTTTATCGTGACCCAAGGCCCGTTGCACTCCACTCGTGACGACTTCTGGCGCATGGTATGGGAGTCCAACTCGCGGGCTATCATCATGTTGACCCGTTGTGTGGAAAAGGGGCGCGAAAAATGCGACCATTACTGGCCCTACGAATCCATGCCAGTGTATTACGGGGACATTTCAGTGCAAATTTTAAACGAAACTCGGTACCCAGACTGGAACATATCCGAGTTTATGGTGTGTCGGGTGAGTTGCCCCCAAAATTCGGACAATTGTCATTGTTTTTTCCCCAGGGTGACCAACAGAGGGTCATCCGGCATTTCCATTTCACCACGTGGCCCGATTTCGGGGTCCCCAACCCCCCTCATACTCTCGTACGCTTCGTGCGGGCGTTCCGGGAGAGAGTGGGGTCAGACCAGCGCCCCATTGTGGTCCACTGCAGGTATTTGCACTTTTAATCAAACACAAACGCAAATTGATTGGTGGTTGTTTCAGTGCTGGAGTTGGCCGTTCGGGCACTTTTATTTGCCTCGACCGCATCCTCCAACAAATCCTCGTTTCGGACTACGTTGACATCTTCGGGATCGTCTACGCGATGCGTAAAGAGCGCGTGTGGATGGTGCAAACCGAACAGCAATATATTTGTATCCATCAGTGTCTTTTGGCGGTGTTGGAGGGGAAAGAACTGTCAGGGTCGCCGCGTGAAATCCACGAAAATCAAGGATTTGAAGGTAAGTGGTAGTGGGTTGTTGAAAGTTTCGCAATCTCGAACTTGGTGTGTATGCAGAAATGGTAACACACTTGTTTAGTCGATGTAAAAAGCTGCTATTCTGTGGTTCAGGCAAAGGTGTTGGTGGAAACGGCGCTACTGTTGGGCCTTCTTTAGGCACGGGGGAGAAACAAAGGTAGATTAACCGTACATCTGGCTGCATTTAACGCTTTAGCCGGTAACATGATTTTTTACTAAGCATGAAGGGTTGCACGACTTGTAGAATAGTAGCCAGATTCTTTCTTTACTGTTTTTTATTTCATCACCCCAGCATATGATATAATCTACGAAAGCGTAGGAGGGTCACACTATTTTCACCAGATTACAAGACTACGTTATACTGAGTGGTTAAAGCCTAAAAGTTAGGTAAAAATATAATAAAAATATTTTTTACAGTTTAATGATTTTTGACTTGGTATGGCGAAATTTTACGAAAAAATGATGTTTTCAGCTTAAAAATCCGCTTAAATCAAATCACTTTCCATTCAGATTTCGACCTGTTCACTTTGTTCTAGCTTTCTTTTTTGAAAATGTTCTCAGCAAATGCTTTCTCATCACTTTCGAGTGATGTTGAATGCAAAAAATCAGTTGCTTCGTGTGCAACTGTTATCACAAAAACTACTACCTACAAGCTAATCGTAGAATGTATCAACAAAATAAATCAGGTGGCTTACTCACACTCGAAAGTGATGAGAGAGCATTTGCTAAGAACATTTTCAAAAAAGAAAGCTAGAACAAAGTGAACAGGTCGAAATCTGAATGGAAAGTGATTTGATTTGAAAAAGATTTGCCCTTATGTTTAAGGCTCGTGTCTTAAATTTCTAGATCCTCTTTGCTCAATGATCAGTGGTCATTTTTACAACAAAAAAACTCTTTATTTGCTTTATAGTACGCAGGTGTAGTACGCTCTTTATTTGCTTTAAGTAAACAAACAGTTTTTGTTTATTTTAATTAGAACAAATAAGGTGCAATTAACCATTTTTAAGCAAAAGAAGAGTCTTAAAACAAATACTTTTATAAAAATACAATTTTAAGTAAGATCCTATATGGCGCAATAAAATACCTTGAAATATCTTGAAAACTACTTTGTATATTATTTTAAAAATTTGGATTCTTACTAATAAAAAGATGCTCTACACGATGGCGATAAAGAAAAAAAATACTCGTAGGGTTTTTTTTTTAGATTACTTCGAAATTCTTGAACACTGTTCGAAGAAAAGTTTGCCAATATTCAATTTCAAATTGCATATCATTCTAAAGGGAAAGTTCATCCCTTTAGAATGGTCTTTATTTGAAGGAAATCGGCATAATAGTTATTGAGTAATGATTTGTTAAAGGTAAAGTATTTTAAATTCATTTAAATCAAAGTGTGTGTATAATTGTGTGTATATAATTTGTCAAGTTGTCACGACAGGACTTTTTTTGTCGTCCTGTGTTATGACATCATTTTCGGGCTAATTCTATGATTTGTCAGCGTGTTTTTACAAAATTTTGCGATATAATCGAGTGCTAAAATGCCCGAGAAATGTAAAAATAATATAACTTTCGTCTTAATTTGTTGACTTTTTTTGGTTTGCTTTATCGAAAATTAGCTTGCAAAACCTGAGATTTTAGTGCAATAAGATGCTTAAAAAATATTTACTTTGGCCACATTGTGGTTTTTCGGCTTATTTTTGACTATATTTTTTGTGATTTTTATGCGTGTTTGGACAATATTTTGCAAAATAAAAGAGCCTTTGGTTCAAAAACGATGAAAGTGGAACGAAACGAGCTAAAAATTTTAAGCAATTTAAAAGGATTTTAGATTTTTTTGTTTCTATCTCAAAAAACCGTGCTGAAACACTAGAAAAAGACAAAAATAACATCCTTTTTGGCCTATTTTGTTGAATTTTGGTTTGTTCTTAACGAAATTTTGTGAAAAAATTGTGTTTCTGACTGAATGTGCCTACTCAAGCATTCGAAAAAGGCAATAGTAAATTTACATTTTTAGACCGTGTTTAATAAAATTGAATTACATCTAAAAAAACGTGGAAAAGGATGCAAAAATAAGTTAAGTTAAATTGTGACTCTTCTACGGCTTCGTAATATTTTAAGTGTTTCATTGTATACACAAAGAATTTATTGAGAAACGTTCAGCTAACGAATTCAAGAAGCAAAAAATTCAGATTTTTATTTATTTTTTCTAGAAGACCAAACGTGATTTTGTAGTGTTTGATGTGTAGATAATTTGCGTTAATTCTCATCACTTTTTCTTTTCTTTAAAGGAAATAAATTTTCCAACTGTTCTTCGTCCTTGCATTAGATCTATAATAATTTGCGTAATTTAATTTATTTCCGGTAGTTTCGTGTTTCCGTGGAGTTAGTCAAAGCATGCGATCGATTATATTCAACAGGTTCTTTTTTCTTGCTGGGGAAAAATAATAAAAGATGACTGTTCCCCTTTATTTCGATTTTGTAATTGTGTTTTGTTTTTTGCACAGATGACGAAGGCATTGCAGAGTCTGGGATGTGATAAAAACGAAGATAGGCAAGAAGCAATAAAGTGTTTTATAGAAACTATTAGACTTTTGTTACATATATTTTATTATGTAATCGACTATAGAATTGATATTATATTTACTAATTGTACAGTATTTCCGCTATTCTTTACAGTCAGAGACGCAGTATTTCGTGACAAGTCTGGCAAATATCATTCCTTGACACTTCATTAATCGCCCGTACTTTTTTCATATAAATTAGTTAGAGAAAAATACCGTTCTGTGATATAACGATTCGGTTTTAGTATAATTTTATATAAAAAAGATAAATTACCCACTTGGCGTTAATTAACCCGCTTTGTACTTAAAAATCAAAATAAATATTTTATTCCATTTATTCCACGTGTTGTCATTTTTTCCCTGTCATGTTTGAAGGTAAGTAACGGGGTCACAGGGCCAAGCCCGGCCCTGCCCCGCATTATCAATAAAACGTAATAAAATTCAAATCTGCTCGGAGTCACGACACAATCAACCCCCACACACGCGACATCCTTTCATTCCTCTCAAATGCTAGAAGAATTTGACTATGTGGTCGAACGTAAACCGCCCCATCCCATCTGCTTCGGCTCCAAACTCGTCCGCAACACGGCCCCCATCGGCAAGAGTCTCTCTCCGTTCCAGAAACTGGCAGCTCCGGAAAACAACCCCCTGACCGGGCCTGGACACTACAAAACCGAGAAGTACAACTGCGCCCTTGATCGGCTCGTCAACAAAGTGACGAGTAGTAAAGGTGTGGGGCCCTTGGCTAGTGATGATCCCAGGTTCAAAGACAAAATTTTCATGCGGACGCCGTCGCCGACGAGGTATAACCCCGGGAGGCCCGTGATGATGAAACGTCAAGGGAGGGCCCCATTCGGGTCGAAGACGCGACGACTGATCTCCGCCGAGGATAAACTCCCAGGGTTGGTGATTTTTTAAATGATTTTTATTAGTGTTTGTTTGCAGGCCAGGGACTTACGATACTGCCTCGAAAAAGTGCCGGAGGACACGATTTATGTACAATTTCGGGCATCCGACCATGATTTCGTCAATTGAAATTATTTGTGTGGACCGACCCAGCGATACTTGTGTCAAATGTGAGCAAATATGTGCTGGGGATTACTGGCACAAAGACTATACAGTTTTTTTGTGTCATTTATGCTGGGAGGAGGAAAAACGGGGCCGGGAGTTATACAACGAGAAGGAATTAAATACATTCCAGGTAAAAAATCCAATTACTAACGAGAATTATAACAGTTTTGTAGAAAATCCGCAACTGTTCTTTTGCTCATAACCACGAGGGAACCTCGGCCGCAATTCGGTTGCTTCCGCCGCGAAAAATCAACAAAAAATTACGCTTAGAAAATTATTTAGACCTTTATATTAAATGTTGATCACTTTTTACAATATTGCTGTGTCCCTCTCCGTCCGGTCCCGACCTTCCTGAATCAAAATCTCCGAACCTTTCAGACATTTCCCGACTGAACGAAACTCCCGAATGCAGATTCGGCCTCGAGCCACTATCCAAATCATTCAGAAGCGTTTCAGTGTCATATCGGCCGTCAGAACACCCCGATACATATCTACTTGACATTTCACCCGAAATCAAGCTCAGTTTTTCCAACAGATGGTCGATTTTCTGCTTCCCTTCCAAATTCTGATCAGTCTGTAACAACCCCACTTCGGTGTCTTTAGTGTGATGGAAATTAAACTTCTCGGCCTCTTTCTCGAAATCAACCATGTCGAAATCGTCCTCCACACAAAGTGTGTTAATATCGCGTTCAAACTCGTCGGCAATTTCATCATTCGAGGTGTCTGATTCGTCATTTGTCACCTTCGAGAGGCGCAGTCTTAATCTCTGAGTAATTTCATCCAATTCGGTGAATTTTCGCTTGAGGGCGCGCCCTAAAAGTTCGCCGGGCTCGAAAGGAGCCTCAGGGGGCTGAGAGGGACTCGACGGCTCACCCTCGCAGCACTCTCGTGCCCGATACTTCATCACATTTTCCAAAGGGGTCACGTGTATCTAAATAAAAAAAATAATAGAATATTCACACAAATTAATTAATTACATTAATTTGTCCGTTGCATTTTTTTGACAAGTCGTTGATATTGAACCACCCTTGCACACTTGGCAGACCTGCCGACAGCACGGTCAAATCAACGGTTGCAAAACCGATCACGTGATCAACTTGCATGTTGGGTGTCATCGTCGTATTTGTTGATTTGCGCCAAACTTTAAACACCAGAAATTTCTGATTCTGAAACATCAAATTAGAAAAAATCACACTTTTGGGGACACTCACGTCTGTTAAATACTCCACAGGTAACGAAACGTCACACCTAAAGTCCCATTTTGGGGATGTATTTTTGGGTACAATTGGGGTTATTTTTAATTCGCCCTTAAAACTTTCAAACGTGACGTAAGTACTCGGGAGGATGTCTTCGTGTTTGCCATTGCGGGCTTTGGATTTCTTCGATTTGCATTTTCGACGACTGGGCAAGTGTAAAGCGCTGTTTATTGCAATGTGAGCTCTGAAATGGTCTTTGACGTTGTCGATGAAGGCCTTTTGTAACGAGTCGAGGTCTTTTTCTTTAGAGTTTTCCAAGGATAAGGCCTTGTGTAATGTGTCGAGGAGATCGGAAGTACTTCGGACTTCGAGTTCGGTGTTTGTGCTTGTTTCAACTACAGAATTCGTTTTTTGATTGTGCACAGATTCGATGTCTTTTTGAGGCTCCATTTCTGATTGTGTTGCAACATTAATTTTTTTCCTGACTGGAGTTTTTGCCTTGACTGTGTTTTTCTTAAATCCTCTCTCACTCTCGAGGTTTTCTATTTGTTCTTTCGTCCCTAGAGCGAGGAGGATTTGAGCTTGACCTACCACTTCACCATTACTGGGATTAAAAACTGACTCCCAACCGTCAGTTCCGATTACAGGAAGCTGTTAAAAAAAAAGGTTTACTTCGTTAAAAAACCACAAAAAACTCACTTTTCTCTCAGATAAATACTTCACAATCACAGAATTTCTATAAGCCAGATAAAATTGGTGCAAAGGAAGTTTCGCAAGTCCGATTAAAAAATCCTTCGATTGGCCTTTTTCGAAAAATTCTACCACCATAAAATTCTCACGCAGTTTGAATAAAAAATCCTCCTCACAAATCAGCGGAATTTGCTAAAATAATAATACTTTAACAAACACCAAAGAAGTTTAATTTCAAACCTGGGAAAAATTATAAACTGGATTCGAATCAAAAGCCACCAATTTGCTACTAGAAACTTCGTCTAAAGCAAACATTTGACACGTCAAATACGAATTCATCACTTCTCTACTGAAAAGGGCCTCAGAAATGTAAATGAAACCGAACAAAACCGGTTTTGGAGTAATTTGTATAACCGGTTTTGGAGTAATTTCTACAACCGGTTTTGCTGATTTAGGTTCCCGAGTAACCGGCTTCGCCGAATCCGGTTTTCGAGCAATCGGTTCAGGTTTTCGGTTACTTCGAGGTAACAATTTCGGTACAAACGCCTCAAATGTTTTTTGAGTGGATTTTTGGGTGACACTCGGAGAATAAAAATCAAACATTGTAGCTTCCGGACTGCTTAAATCGTCGCTTCCTAAAGCGATTGAATTCTCTTTATTATTAGTGATAGCGTCTAAAACCAATCAGAATTTATTGAGGTAAAATTTGACAAACTTGACACTAACCTATGAATTCTTTGCCGAAATAAAGCCGGCCACAGCCTAACTGAACCGATATTTTGAGCCCCCCAACAACAATAGGGGCGTTTCCTTGCAATCTAAGAGTCAGCTCTTGGTTGCAAGTAAAATTTTTAGAGACTTGAAACGAACTAAAATTAAAATGTGCAACTCCCAACGTAATCGGTTGTTTTTGCTTAAAATTACGAAAACTTAAACGAAATGTAATTATCGCATCTTCCAACTTAACTCTGCTTAAATTCTCAATATCGTGAATTGAAGTTTGTTTAAAATTGACCACTACAAAAAGCATTTTCTTTAATTGTTAACAAAATGTTTTATACCTTGGTGAGATCTTCGAGTGCAGAGTCTTACTAAATTCCCAGAGTCAAGCCCCGAATCAACTTTAGATTTATTTTTGGGGGAATTTCTCACCAGAATTTCGGGAATCTGATATTCCAAGAAGAAATTCTGACCTACACTTGATGCTTTGTCCTTAATTAAACTATTTAGTACTTTTTTGTCCCCGGCTTCATTTAATAACACACTATTTACAGAAACTTTCACAGAATCAACAAACTTTATGTAATTTGCAAACTCATTTTTGTATCGTTGCTGAATTTTTTCGGTGATTTCATTCGAGTTTTCCACACGTTTTAAATCACAATTCAAGTCTTTTTCTCTATACTCGTGGCAAGTAAGACAGTCGCAAGGTTCTTCGCTTCGGTACGTCCTATCAGTAACTTTACAAAGATCAGTCGCTGACATTGACCTCAACGTTTCAAGAGCCCAGATTTCCTCCTCTCGAGACAGTGGGTCCCCTTGCAAAAAAGCTCGAATTTTGCTATTTGAATCATGGGGCAAATCATCCAGTTTTGTAGGCTTTTTCACTTGATCATTTATAACATCCAGGTTCAAAGGGTCGTGTCTCAAAATGGACTGTACCATGGCACTTCTAAGTCTCTGACCACGCTCTAGGATCTTATCAATTAAATCTGAATCAAGTTTTCGCTCCGAATAGCAATTAAAACACGACATTTTACTAAATTATGATAATTAAAACGGTTGATATGTTTGTATTTTGGACAACTGTCATTTTACAGAAGGGCCAACCGTAACGAATATCCCCAACTGGGGTCATTGAGACGAATCAATAGCAATTTGGTGGCTATCTTATTAAACATTAACGAACCCGAACAATTTTTTAACGTTAAATGTGGATTATGAAAGGATTAGGATACTCACAAGTGAGAAATCAGTGAAACTTGGGCCTGAAAACCCACACACAAACACCCCCTCTCACACACTCCTGAAATAACACCGCTACCAACCTAACAATTGGAAGTCTCTATATTTTTAAAAACGATTAATAAATTAACATAATTCTCCTTTCACGTTTTTTTTTTAATTCCCTCAACGTATTAAATATCTATGGCATTCATTTTGTGATGTTTTCGGTGTAAGTGGTGTCAAAAATTTTATTTCTAAGACTCCTCCAGCTATTATTAGAATCTGGTAAATCCGCCTCTGGATTCTTCAGGTCAATTGCTTTTGCCCCCGGCTGAGAAGACAAAGATGAGCGTGTTATGGTTGTGAAGAGGCGAGTGGGGCAAAGAGGGTCGTTGCACGCTTTGTTGTGAAGAACTAACGGTTTCAAAGTCAGTGCTGGAGGCACTATTAAAATAATCGGTAAGTCCTTTAAATAACTTCAAGGGGTGAGTTTCGGTGACGCTGCAAGGGATGCGTACAATATTAGAGCGCAGGGTGTAATATAAAATCGATAAAATTGCATACAAACGTCTCGTACCGGCTTTTTTCTCCGAAAAATGCGTCATTTTTTAGATAATGAGTGATAAAATTGAGGAAAACACCGAGAAAAGTGACGACAAGAAAGATATCGAGATGGAAGAAAGGGAGAAGATGTTAAATGCTGAAAATAAAGCTTTGGAAAAGGTTGAAGAGAGTGTCGATGATAAGAAACCGAAGACTGAAAACAAAGAAGGGATGGAAGTGAAGCCGAAGAAGATCCCCATCGGGGGTATCCAAATGCCGGGGTTTTTCACGAGGAGTAAATCAAAAGAAAAGTGCAAGGTAAGTGAGTTTATAATCAGTGAGCAAAAATTGATTTTGTATCTAGGATGAGGACCAAGAAGTTGAGGGAACTGAATTAATAGAGACTAGAGCGACGTCTGAAGAAGCCCCAAGTCAGACCCGGATAAAGCTCCCCAATCCTTTCAGAAAATCAAAAGCCGGTGAAGAAGACGGCGAAAAATCATCAGAACAGAAGGAAAAGAAGAAACTTTTGGACACAATCCGGCTTCCTCTCGTTTCAGTCTTCCCTCGGAAGAAGAAAGAAGAACAGAAATTAGAATCACAGACTGCTCAAGCCGGTTTGGCCTCGATGGAAACCCTCGACGACAAGTCCACAGACGGAAAAAGCAACGACGAAATGAAAAACGTCAATCTCGATGAGAAGAAAGACTTGGAAGCTCAAGAAGTCGCAGAAGAAGCGACTTGGAGACAAAAACTCAAAACATACAGAGTGGCAATTGGTGCATTGCTCGTTTTCTTATTACTAACGCTAATTATCGTAATTGTGGCAATCCCCGGAAAAGACATTCCGAGAGTAGCCCCAATTAAAGATGGCCGGTATGTCGAAGCAGTCACCGGTTGTGGCAAAGTCGAAGGGTAAAAAAATACTAATAGTTTTTGTTTTTCATAATTGAGAATAATTCCAGACTGGTGGAAGACAGCGCTGTAGCTTTCCGGGGAATCCCCTACGCGCGCCCCCCTATTGGCAACCTCCGATTTAAGTACGCCCAGCCCTTGAACAACATCGATTACTGCTGGAACGGCACATTCCTCGCCCACAACGCGACGGAAACTTGCCTCCAAATCTACAGCAACGGAAGCATTTCCGGTACTGAAGACTGTCTCACTCTCGACGTGATCACCCCCTACGTCCGGTACCACGACCCGCTTCCGGTCATCGTTCTAATCGGAGCGGAAAGCTTCATCGGGGGTTCCCCTGGAAAACTCCGACCTTCGGCTCGGTACGCCCGCTCCAAAGATGTCGTTTTCGTTCGACCGAACTTCCGACTTGGGGCTCTTGGTTTCCTGGCTTTGGATATTTTATCCAACGCTGATTACCCCCCCACATCCGGGAATTACGGCTTGTCGGATATCATCGAGGCCTTGAAATGGGTGCAACTCAATATTCGACATTTCGGAGGTGACAACAGTTCGGTCACGCTTTTGGGGCATCGAGCTGGGGCTACATTAGTGACAGCTTTGGCGACACTCCCTGACGCAAAGAAATATTTCTCGAAGGCTTGGGCTGCCTCTGGAGGGGCTCTTTACCCGAATAAAACGCGCCGTGAGGCTGAAATCGACAACAGGAGTTACCTCCAATATGTGGATTGCCAAGACATCGATTGTTTACTAAAGTTAGACGCAGAGAAAATCGTGCGTTCGGTGCAAGACACCTGGAGGAAGCCTCCACCCGATTTACCAACCGCTGAAGAGGACCCCAGCAAACGCCACTATTGGCTCGTCCTCGACGGACAGATCCTCAAAGACCACCCGGCTACCACTTGGACCCAAAACAAACTCAAACTGGTGATCGGAACCACAGCTCATGCTGGTGCTTCCGAAACACTTCTTCTCAAACATAAAGAATGGACCGAATTCCTAGTGAGGAAACACCTCCACGAGTCTTTCCTCAACTCGAAGAACCTCACAGAGAGCGTCCTGGAGATGTACCCCCGGACCTACAAAGGCCTGAGTGCCATGATTTCCGATATCCGAACCGTGTGCCCCCTTATGGCCATCGCGAGTCAAATGCATGAAGTCCCCTTCTACGTCGTGACCCAAACCAGAGGCGACCAAGACGTGGCCGATGTTGATTCCGACATCGATGCGATTTTGGGGCGCTACGAGCCGAAGACCCCCGAACAGAAACGCTACTTTTCGGCAATGCAAGGCTTGTTTTACCATTACGTGTGGTCGGATAGGGTGGAGCACAAAGATGTGACAAAGAAAATCCTACTTGTTGGACAAGATGTCTTGCCAAATGCTACATATTCGCATTGCGCTTTTTGGATTAATAAGGGCGTAGTCTTGCCGTTTGCTGCTCTTGATTAAGTTATTTTGTTGGTAGCAGTGTCAAGGGGGAGCACTGCTACCGGACAGGGTATTAGGCCTAAATTTTTGATCTCTTTTACATCATTGTTGAAAATTTGCCAAATGTAAGACACTTTTTATACTCATTAGGTTAGGTTTAGTAAATGTGAAGCTTGAGATGTACTAAAGTCCAGTAATTACCCGATATTTTGTATTTTATTTATATGAACTTTTTGTAACGATATACACCTTGTACTTGATTCTATGAATCGTTTTATTTATGACGAAATGTACCATTTTCTATTTACTTAATAAACAATATCGAACGTCACGCAATTGGTTTTTTATTTAGTGGATGAGGTAATTCCAATGAAAATGCCTTCATCATAAATATTTTGTACTTAGTCATTGACATACATAAAACCTTTTGATTCTAAGAATCGCAGCTACGACTAAACAAAGTTAAAAATCTACAATTCTTTTAAATACTAGTCAGCCTTTTTTCTTAGAAAGAACACAATCAATCATAAAGGAAAACGCACACTTTATGAGTTTCTAAAGACCACTCAAATGTGGATATTTTTACATCAATCGACGCGTCTTGAGATAAGAAATTATTGTTACCATTGCGCCAAAACGATAACTTTATAAATACAGCGGTTATTTGTAAAACAATATTAAAATGCTGCCATTTACTTTGCATTAGCTGGAAAGAGAGAGGTAGATCTCGCTTTGAGATGGTCTAAAGCAAAGTAAATGGCAGCATTTTAATTTTGTTTTGCAAATAACCGCTGTATAAAGTTATCGTTTTGACGCAATGGTAACAATAATTTCTTATCTCAAGACGCGTCGATTGATGTAAAAATATCCACATTTGAGTGGTCTTTAGAAACCAATAAAAGTGTGCGTTCTTGATTTCAACCTAATTTTTATCCTTGAGAGGTCCCGGACTATGAGTCCCTTTTAAGCTCTTAGGACTACCCAAATTCTCCTTATCCTCAATCATCTTATACTTCTTCCCTGGCTTCAAGTCGTCAATTTCCCGCATCAACTTGTCCACCAATTTATTAAGCTTAAAATTTTTTCCTTCGAGATCCATGTACTTCTTCGACAACTCCAAATTCTTCATTTTTAAATCGGCGACATGTCTAATCTTCTGTTTGTGATTCTGATGGCCTAAAATTTCGGTGTACTTCAAACTCAGCTCTTTGGCTTCATTCTCAATGGTGTCTTTTTCATTAGTGAGCAGAAGAAGTTCGTTTTGGTACGCTTCGAGCTGTTCCTGGTATGGCCCAATCAACTTCTCCAACTCCTGGATCCGTTCTTTGGCTTTGTCCAACTCCTGGAGGAGTTGTTCAAATTGTTGGGCCAGCTCGTCGTATTTTCCACTTTTCTCGATGTATTTCTTCCTAATCTCGGCTGCTTCTTCCATTTCTTCCTTCAATGTGAGTTTGGAGGAGCGAATTTCTTCCTCCAACTCGGCTTGTCTGTTTCCCAAATCGTAAATAAGCGAATTTGCTTTAACTAGCAACTTTTGTTGTTCGTGGTGTTGCGCCAAAACGTCATTCAACAATTCTTTGTCTTTCATTACTTGCCTGGCTTCATTTTGAAAAGTTTCCACTTTTGATAGAAGATTTTTTTCGATGGTTTGGACCTGATTTTGCATAAGTTTAGACGTGGACTCGTACTGCATTTCTAATTCTTCATTCGCGGTTTGAATTTCATTCAATTGGTTGGTCATCTCGGATATTTTTTTCTCATACATCAAAACCCTTTCTTCACACTTTTCTAATTCTTCCTTCAACTGCTCGACATCCCGATCCGAATTAAACAAACGTTTCTTCAAAACCTCAATAGTATCCCTGAATGTGCTAATAGAAAGTTCGTATTTGTGTTTCTCGCATTTCAAAATGCCAACTTCTTCCTCCAAAATTTCAAATTTCTTTACCAACTCCCGGTAGGATTCTCCTTTTGCTTCAAGCAAGTTCTTCACTTGGTTCTTCTCAACTTCACTTTGGATGATGGTATACTCACTAATAGCTTGACACTCTTTCAAAATCGCTTCATGTTCCTTTTGCTTTTCTTCAAGTTTTTCCTTCCAGTTATCTTCAATTTCTTTGATCTTGTCGGACATTTGAAGCTCAGTTAGACATTTCACGTCTTTGAAGTTTTCTTCAAGAAGAGTGACTTTAGCTTCGCTTTCTTCAAGTTTCTTCAACAGGGCCTGTGTCTCCTCCGTGTGTTCTTCACACAATTTTTGATTGTTCTGTTCCAACTCCTCTTCAAGCAGCGCGAGTTTAGTTTGACTATCTTCGAGTTTCTTCAACAGTGTTTGAAGTTCTTCCTGGTGTTGACCAAGCAATGTTTCGACTTCTTTATTGTGTTCTTCACGCAACTTTTCATTTTTCTGTTCCGAGTCCTCTTCAAGTAGTGCAATTTTAGCTTGGCTATCTTCGAGTTTCTTCAACAATATTTGAGTTTCTTCCTGGTGTTGAGCCAGCAACGTTTCGACTTCTTTACTGTGTTCTTCACGCAACTTTTCATTGTTCTGTTCCAACTCCTGTTTTAGTAGTGCGACTTTACTTTGACTATCTTCAAGTTTCTTCACCAGTGCTTCAACTTCTTCACGACTGTGCGTTACGGTTTTATTGTACAATTCCTGAAACTTCTCAATATTGCCCAGCAACTTGCTCAACTCCACCAAATTTTGACATTTCAGTTCTTCATGTTCTTGGCGAACTTGACGCAGCATTTTGTTTATATTTTTAAGATCGGTACTTATTCCGTCGTATTCTTTGGCACGTTTAAAATTGTCCCCCTTGTATTGTTGTTTTAATTCAGACAAGGCCCCCTCACACCCGGTTTTTTCCTCTACTAACCGCAAATTTTCCTGTTCTAAATTATTCACTTTGCCTGTCATTTCCTCAATTTGTTCGATTAAATCTCTAATATACAGATCTTTGTTATTACATTCGACTATTTTTTCCCTCAATTCCTCTTGCTGATTACTGGTTTTTGCGCTTTTAAATGATAAAAACTTCTTTTTCTTCAAGGGCAAAGTAGGCTGTAATTAACAAAAACCAATCACAAACTCCCCGACTGCCTTTTTTTGACTTACCGTTTGGAAACAAGGTGTGCTATGAACTGAACCCGACTCTGAACGTGGGGGGCTCCCAATTTTTGAGTACGTTCCTGTTTTCGAAATTAAACCGAGTTTGATTTTTTCTTGCAAGGAAACATTGTATGTTGCCGGCGATGGGGTACAGTCTATCATCAATCATTTGTAATTAAAGAAATTAAGTCTAAAATTATTAACTCACCTTTAACGTCATTAAATCTTTGGATTTTTGCTTTGGAAAACGACATTTTAACAATAAAAAACACTAAGATAATAAATAAACAACAAAAAATAACATTGAAAACGCGAGTACGACCAGCTGAAAAACGAAAAATGATTAAAGAATCGTAACGGCTGTGACGGTTGACCATCAACCAATCAGATAGGCCCATTATGAGAGGGATGAGTTTTGATTGGTCGAAATTTGACAAGGACTAGCAGATGGTCCACATCAAGGACACGATAAAATAAGGTGACCCAATTGCAATAACTGCCACATTTTGTAATCATTAAAATTTTCCCCACATTTACACCTCCACAATTTATAATTTTATAATTTATAATAACCCATATTTATTGGTTATTACAATTGTGTACATAGTTGATTTCGAATTATGAGCACACCTCAACAATTTGTCCTTGATTTAATTGTGTATTTTGTGTTGCCTGCCCAGATGCGGAATTAAAATTTCGGGCAGTATTTTTCTGTCACTTTAAAAAGTTTACTGTAGACTACCTTTTACTGTCATCATGACTGACATTTGACAATTAAACATGACAAGAGTAAAAAATAAGGTTGTTAATGTAAAGGTTGTTTTAGAGTTTACGTTATGAAAATGACAATACTGCCCGAAATTTTAATTCCGCAACTGTACATACATACGTTCCAATGTTCCATATACATATGTTCCAGCGAGTTGAAAAAGTCCATTAGTGACCTTTAAATAATTAAATTTAAAAAAATATTATAGATCCTAATCTAGTGCATCGCCTAAAATTATTTTCAACTAAAATAAGTTACAATACAAACTTGTGTTTTTTTAATGAAGCATCATATGTTTCTTAGCGTTTTTGAATGTAGATTTTTGTGACAACGCTTTTAAGCTAAACTTTTATTGGTCGATTTTGCTTAGTTTAAAAAATAAGACGATTTTTTTTTACTATAACACGCACTTTTAAAAATTTATTACACAAAACTAAGACATCTTGGAATATTTTTTTACTACCGCAGACAAAAACGTACAAGCTATGAGGTTGTAACATTTTTTTAGTGTGATAAAAAAAATTAAGGCGTTTGTTAAAAGTTCAATAACTTAAAAAAATTAATAGAACACGCTATTTAGTGTTTTTGCATTTAAAAGATTATTAAATTGTCTTTCTAAAATTATTTACTTTTAGCTGTTTATAATCAATAACTAAAAAGATATTTAACGTTAAACATGAAAAAAAAATAATTACTATTGTTTCAGGAACATGAAAAAAATGTTTAAAAAATTCTCTGTCAAAAAATTTTGACATTTGACATTTTTTTAAATCTATTTGATGATACCGATGATCTTGTATATGTTTTTTTAAATTATTTAGTAAAGGGACAAAAATTTTGCCAATAAAAGCCACAAATAACATTGAACAGAATTACAATTTAGGATACAGCTTCCCTGTTTCCTCTTTTAACAGCCTATAGCAAAAAAATCTTGGAAAATTATTTTTTTTCACAGAAATAAATAGAGTCAAAGTGCAAACTTTAAACCCTCATAACTTCAAAATTTTTATAGATAAAATTTTTAAAACATTTTTTCCATGTTCCTGGTATCTTATCTTATATGACATTTTTCTCTGAGGCGCGAGTTCTGGCGCACCCTGTATATCAACAATGCTCAGATATTGATAGGCATTGTTGCTACAATTAATATTGAATGTCAAATATCTATTTATTTATCATTTCTAGACATTAAAAGATATTTTTTTTAGATAGACAATTTATCAATCTATTAGATGCAAAAATAAAAAAATAGGGTGTTCTATGTAATTTTTTGCAGTTAACAAACTTCTTAATTTATTAATCTTTACAAATTAATGCAAAACACTAAAAAATGCTACAGCTTTCAATTCTGTACTTTCTTCCTTGCAGAAGTAAGAAAAAATTTGTTCTAGCTGTCGTAATTTTTGTGTAATACATTTTTAAAAAGTGCATGTTTTTGTCAAAAAAACCGTTTTATTTCTAAAACTAAGCCAAATCGAATAATAAAAGTTTTGCGTAAAAACAATGTTTTAAAAGGCTACATCCAAAAATGCAAAGAAACATACGGTGTTTCATTTAAAAAACACACAAGTTTGTATCGCAACTTATTTTTGGGACATTGGTTGAAAATTATTTTATCCGCAAACGTCACAAAAGTGACCACTTTTATGACTAAATGACACAGGTAAAAGTTTTACTTTTCAGACATGGAGTAAAAACACTGTTTTTACGCCTAGGCGGTTTCACTTTTACTTGACACTTACTTTGACATTTACTACTGTTGTCTCTTTCTTGTCTCTTTCGCTTTTTCAGCATTTTCTGGGGAGGTACAAGGTAGATTATCAGCATTAGACATTTTACACTATAAACTACACCAGTTATGCACCAATTAAATCAATCAACACTTTCGAAATCTCAACACAAATTCCGAAACTGACGCGTGACGTTTGTTATGATTTTATTGCAAAGCGTCCTGATTATTGAGGTGATTTACTTGATTATTGGTGTGTTGCTCTTTTCTCTCCATCTGAATCGTTTGCATATAAAATAGTATATGTTATTTGGAGTAAAAGTGAGTTTATGTGGCTCAGCTGAATCCATTTGCCTCACTCCGTTCGGCAAAATGAACGTTCAGCTTCGCCACATAAACAATCATTTTTACTCCTAATAACATAATCTACTATTAGGTGATGCGCTAGATTAGTATCTATCAATGTCCTATACATTTTTAAAATTTTACCATTTAAAGATATAGGGTATAGAGTGTCTCAATAAATTATAATTAATGTCAAAACCATTTATTTCACAACTATGTACAATAAACTTCCATTTAATACATTAATTATTAGAATTGGCCCTCAATGATTTTCGGGCAAAAAATATCCCAAATTGTCTCTCCTCTCACACTTTTGTACAATTGTTTGGCTTTCTTCCACACACTTCTCGCTTTATCTCGTTCATCCAGTTTCTTACACACTAATTCGGCCACGGTTTCGGCATAAAATTGAGCCAAACTGTCGAATCCTTCAGGAACCACTGAGTCCTCAAATGCCGGTGTTGAAGCAACTGCTTCTGGAGAAGAGCTCCTGGTCGAAAAAAATCCATCGTCAAGACTCAAATAATCCCGACATAAATCATCAATGGTGTCACACCGGTTCTGAATGCGTCTCCCTGCTTGTTCCAATTGTTCCAATAATTGGGTCATTTCGGGAGTTTTGGAATTTTTCTTCGAAAGTTTTGGAGTGGATGTCGGATGTTTTTTCGCATGCCGACGGCAAGGCGGGGAGGGTGCTATTGAGAGTTTGATAAAAAAAAAGTCGTTTGTTTAAAATGATAAAAAACTTACTCTCAGGTTGGGGGTAGTAATCGAATCGTTTGGCTCTCGAGAACATTCTTATAAAATTTATGACAAAAACTGATAAGGAGTAGCAAAGGGCAAGTATTTATAGTCAGGTATAGGGCAGTTAAGGGTGAGGGTAGGGTTGAAAAAATTGAAAATATTTATTTAAAAATATTTTACGAAATTAGAAATCAGGCAACAATTTGCATTAAAAAAAGGCGGTAATAAATAACTCAAACACCCAGTAAGTCAATTATGTTATAAAAACATGTTACAAGCCTAAAACATACTTTTCATTTACATACGAACGAAAAACCTGAATAAATTTCCAATTAAGTACCAATTTTCTCCTAATTAGAATTAATCGCCTTCATTGTTATAAATTCAAGCTTATCGTTTTGAATAATAAAATATCGCCCAAACTCACACCTACTGATCCAATACGTTCAAACGGACCTAATTGCAATTTGTTTTTAAGACTTAATTAAAAGTCTAATAGAAAACCGATTTCACAAGAGGTTTAATAAATTTCGTGAAACTTAGCTAACATTAAACTCAGCGGGAAGCTAATGACGAAGCATTTAAGCCAAATATGGTGGTTTACTGAAGAGGACGGACGCACAGCAAGTGGTCTTTCTAAATTTCGAACAGGAATAAATTTTACATCATCATTAATGAAGCAAGTTTAACCAAAACAGATAAAATATGTAGTAATTAAGTACAAAATTAATAGCAACCCAAAATTTATAGTTTTATGATGGAAAAGATGAAAAAATCAGTTTTAGGAACATGTAAAATAGTGAAAAGTAACTAAAAATAAAGCATTTCTGCTGGTCTAGTCATCCAGTGATTCAAAAATTATGTTTAGAAAACTAAAAATAAAATATAACTAAGAAATATTTCATAATCTTTAACAAGACAAATACGAGTAGTAATAAACAAAATATTTTCTTCAAAAATATTCTTAAAAGCTCAGCTAGTATTCTGCAAGTTCCATTAAATATTTTTACGTTATGAAAGTATTCTCGCTATTCATATACTTACAAAATTTGAATTTCTCCAAATTACACATTTTTGTTTATAAATTTTAAAAACCTGGTCTTAGTCCGGTCAAATTAGTCATAAAAATAGTGGTCAAATAACGAAAATTGCGACAGAGCTAAATTTTGGTGGAGACCTTGGGTACACCATTAGAAATAAACTGTCAAAAGTCCCCATCGATCCCATGTGTGCTAAAAAAGTTATTCGCGGTCAAAGGTCAAAATTTGACGTTTTTAAATTTATTTCGGAAACGGTAGGTTTTATCAAAAAAGTAGCCCAGACAAAAATTATAGATCTTAAAATTAGCTACAAAACGGTCTTTATACTTTTTTCCTAAGAATCACCATTCCTGAGATATCGCGATTCTAAGAGTTGTAAGAGTAACGTTCTACATCATGTGCACATACAGAGTGCGCCAGAACTCGCGTCCCAGAGAAAAATGACATATAAGGTAAGATACCAGGAACATGGACAAAATGTTAAAAAAAAGTATCTATAAAAATTTTGAAGTTATGAGGGTTTAAATTTTGCACTTTTACTCTATTTATTTCTGTTGGAAGCATAATTTTCCAAGTTTTTTTGCTACAGGCTATTAGAAGCAGAAACAAGGAAGCTGTATCCTAAACTGTAACTCTGTTTAATGTTATTTGTGGCTTTTATTGACAAAATTTTTGTATCTTTACTAAATAATTAAAAAAAACATATACAGGGTCATCAGTATTATTAAATAGACATAAAAAAATGTCAAATGTCAAAAAATAAATGTCAAAAATTTTTGACAGATAGAATTTTTTAAACATTTTTTTAGTACTCTGGGGATTACCCAATTACTCCCTTTCAAGGAAGTGCGCGATTTTTTAAACAGCCTGTATGTTTTACCAAAAAAATTCTTCTTAATTCCAATGAGATCGAGATATTCATTCATCAGTTTAATGAAGTAGAAGAAAAATTTCAAGTAAGATAAGATACCAGGAACATGAAAAAAATGTTTAAAAAATTCTATCTGTCAAATAATTTTGACATTTATTTTTTGACATTTGACAGTTTTTTATGTCTATTTAATGATACTGATGATCTTGTATATGTTTTTTTATAATTATTTATTAAAGATACAAAAATTTTGTCAAAGAACAAAGAACATTGAACAGAGTTGCAATTTAGGATACAGCTTCCTTGATTCCTCTTCTAATAGCTTGTAGCAAAAAAACTTGGAAAATTATTTTTCCAACAGAAATAAATAAAGGCAAAGTGCAAAATTTAAACTCTCATAACTT